GATGGACAGAGAATGGAAGCAGTGAACTTCCTCCCATATTTGGGCATACCAGGGGTTGTGACTTTAAATATATATATATATTCATTCAAAATTTATATATTATGTATTCAAATTGTGTGTGGATAGGTAGATGATAGATAGATAGATAGATAGATAGATAGATAGATAGATAGATAGATAGATAGATAGATAGATAGATAGATAGATAGAGAAAGGGGTAAAGAAGAAAACTGGGAAGCAACATACTCAAAAGTTTGTGAATCCTTTTGTTTCCAACATCATTTTCCAGGTTCTTCCATCCCCTTTTAATGTAATTATTAAGTTGTAGTTAGAACAATTAAACTGTGTAACAATTTGCCTCCAGACGTTGTGAATGCTCCAACACTGGAAGTTTTTAAGAAGAGATTAGACAACCATTTGTCTGAAATGGTACAGGGTTTCCTGCCTGAACAGGGGGTTGGACTAGAAGACCTCCAAGGTCCCTTCCAACTCTGTTATTCTGGCGTTACTTTTTCATGAATATTGTATGTATTTATGCTTTCGTTGATTAGCATTTGCATCTATCATCCATCCGTGGATGAAGATTAAAGTAGACAACTTTTTTTGAAACCATGCAGCTCAGCAGACATTAGAAAGTCTCTGACTGAAATGTCTATATTGAGCAATCAGTTTTATGAATGGTCATTTGTATGTAAAGTAGGGGGTGCGGTGACTCAGTGGCTAAGATGCTGAGCTTGTCGATCAGAAAAGTCAGCAGTTCGGCAATTTGAATCCCTAGCGCTAGGTAATAGAGTGACCTCCCGTTACTTTGCCTTAGCTTCTGCCAACCTACCAATTCAAAAACATGTAAAGATGCAAGTGGAAAAATAGGGACCATATTTGATGGGACGGTAACAGTGTTCCTTTTAAGTGTTTAGGCGTTTAGTCATGCTGGCCACATGAAGACAGAGATGTCTTCGGACAGGGCTGGCTCTTTGGCTTTGAAACAGAGATGAGTACTGCCCTCTAGATTCGGGAACGACTAGCACATATGTGCAAGGGGAACCTTTACCTTTGTATGTAAAACTCTCGGATTTCAAAAACTATTTGAAATTGGCCACATGACTTACACCTTGGAGGACCAAACTGTACTTTGCAATATCCCAATTTAATTGTCCCAAAAGGAAACCCAAGAAGCTTCCTGGACGAGGAAAGAAACTTTTTCAAAGTAAACACCAAGAAAATCCAGATGCCTCTTAGGGGGGAAAACCACTTTTGAGATAACCAGGATCTGGATGATTGAGAATATCCATAGACATCCCAACCCAATAGCCTTGATTTGCATAATTCCAGATAAACAAAGCCACATTTTTTGGGGCTTCCTCCCATTAATAATTCTGCCACCCTCTCCTTCTCTGTATCTTTAACAGAAGCATTGTGCCTTGATTCTCTGCAACTGGTTCAAAGACGCTCTCTGCCAAGGACTGTTGAAAATTCTCAAATATTGTTGATATTTGGGAAACAAGGCTTAAGAAATGGAACCACCTCAGATGTGATATTGGATGAATACAAGTAAGATCAGAGACCCAGTTTTTAAAATGTTGCCTCTGCCCACACGGCCATGGGGCTGGTTGAACCCACGAGAATCCCCCCTCCCCCATCTGTATTAACAACTGCTAAATTCTCCATCTTTTTGTATATTTTTAAACAATTCTTCTGTTTTAATGCTTAAGTTTATTGACTAACTTGTATATCACCCAGAGCCCCTCTTTGAGGAGGATGAGTAGTTAAGAAGTGTACTATATATAGATATGGATATGGGTATATGTTTATATATCCGTATATATGTGTGTGCTTATATGTATATATGTGTGTATGTGTATACATATTTATATCAATCGATCGATATACGGTAGATGTAGATATATTCACTCAACTGTAAACTTTTTATGATAGATTAGTTAGCAGAACCAATAGCTTTGCCTGTCCCATCATCCACAGTAGCTTCGTCTTCAAGGTCATCTTTGGAACATAGGAAGACATTCATAGGCATGTCCAACATCTAACAGCCTACCATGAGCCACGGCGATGCAGTGGTTAGAGTGAAGTACTGCAAGTTGTTTCTGCTTATTGCCGGCTGCCTGCAATTTGGCAGCTCGAATCTCACCAGGCTCAAGGTTGACTCAGCCTTCCATCCATCTGAGGACCCAGATTGTTGGGGGCAAAAAGTTGACTCTGTAAAACTGCTTAGAGAGGGCTGTAAAGTACTATAAAGCGGTATATAATTCTAAGTCCTATTGCTCTGTGTGTGTGTGTGTGTGTGTGTGTGTGTGTGTGTGTACATACACACACACACGCACACACACACACACTATGTATGTGTATACATATCTATCATCTATCTATCTATCTATCTATCTATCTATCTATCTATCTATCTATCTATCTATCTATCTATCTATCTATCTAGATTCATTCATTCATTCAACTGTAAACTTTTTATGATGGACTAGTTAATAGAACCAATAGCTTTGCCTGTCCCATCAACCACAGGAGCTCCGTCTCCAAGGTCATCTTTGGAGTTTAAGAAGACATTCTTTATTAAAAAGTAGGCAGTTCATGGGAACATTTCTAGCCTTTACCCATTAATTGGGCAACACTTGGGCCAAATATTTTTTACAAATGAACTTCTTTTTGAGCAAGCTGTGTTCTTAGAAGCTTCACTCTTCCTCTGGGGGGTATTATCCCCATGCAATTACTATGTTACATGTGCGACTTTTTTAACAGCCCTTCTGTTCTGAACAGTTGGTATCCAACTCAATTTTATGGGGGTTTAGTTTAGTTTAGTTTTAGTTTAGTTTTATTTCATTTGTATGCCGCCCTTTTCCCTAAGGGTATGTGTGTTAGGGTTACTTTCCTTCAACTATAAGAATCGAGGGCCAAATGTTGTAAAAGGTCATCAGATGAACCATTGTCCATTATATGAGAACGTTATCTGAATTTTTTTCTCTCTCTCGGCTAAGAAAGCGCTTGCTTCCAAAAGTCAATTTTTTTGCAATTTCATCTCTTTGAGTGACGTTATTATCTCGGCTACAAGGGTTACTGGGTTTTTTAAAAGTTTTTTTTTAATTGAACAGACATTAAAACATTGGACACAGTGTAACCGTCCTGGCAATGTCTTTGCCATACATACTAAAATGCAAAGTTAAGTATTATAACCACCATGCTTATTTATAATTGGTCTGTTCAGTATTTGCAAATATAAGGATATCGTATTTCCATCCATGTTGCTTTGTTCTTGTCTTATACATTTCCACACTTATAATTTCATACATAATTCTAATCTCCATTCTATAAATCTTAGTCATTGCTTATTTTGGGTCTTTNATTTCATACATAATTCTAATCTCCATTCTATAAATCTTAGTCATTGCTTATTTTGGGTCTTTTCTCTTTTTGTTCCAACCATCAGTAAAATTTATCCCAGATGTTACAATATTCTGATTCATCTTTGTTCTTCAATTCCCACGTCAATTTATCCATTTCAACACAAATCAGAATTTTCCTAATTACTTCCTCTTCTTGTGGAATTTCCTTGTTTTTCCAGTTTTAGCCAAAGACCATTCTTGCTGCCGTAATAATATATATTATTAAGAAGATTATCCCCAACTACAAGGAATACGGTTATACAGGCCCCTGAAACTAGTGACAACTACTCATTCTACTTTGCCTTACGCTGGTTTTCTGTTGCAGCTGGGGTTATATTTTTCGCTTGGGTAAAAGCTGTAGATAAAAATAACGCCCAGCGTTTCACTTTAGGGGAAGGGAAAGCTGTATAGCAGCCATATGCAAATATTGCTTTCTGCTGGCAGGTCTAATCTCCATTCAGTTGGTAACCAGACGGATGCAGACCTCATCTTGGGAATAAGGATGGAGGGTGACACTCCCAAGGTTAGTTTCATTTACTTGTTTCCAAGAAAAAATTCCCTAGAAGAAGACCATTCAGTCAGAACCAGGGAAGTAGAATTATTTCCTTCTCTGCTGTGCTGTCCCCAAATAGTTATGAATGCATTTAATTTGTCAAACATGTACGAGATAACAGGTATAAATATAAAAATGAATATGAACAAAGAAAATGAGTACAAATGAAGGGGGACAGTAGGACAGGGGCGGTAGGCATGCTGGTGCGCGTATGCAAGCCCCCTTTTAGAGACCTTTCAGGAATGGGTGAGGTCTACGGTAGACAGTTTGAGGTTGAAGCTGTGAGGGTTAGAGGAAGTAACAATGGAATCAGGTAGAGCATTGAATCAGGCGTTGACCACTCTGTTGATGAAGTCGTATTTTCTGCAATCGAGTTTGGAGTGGTTTACCTTGAGTTTGCCCGTGTATTTATTGTGGTTGAAGCTGAAGAAGTCATTAACAGGTAGGATGTTGTAGCAGACAATTTTGTGTACTGTGCTTAGTTACAGTCCTGCAGTCATGAGTGGGAGGAGGTGGGTGATAGGAACGATGAGAAAACTAACAGTAATAGTAATGCAGACTCAGTAAATAGTTTGACAGTGTTGATGGAATTATTAGTTTAGCAGAGTAATGGTGTTTCCTTGTGTCTAGTTGTTCTGGTGTGCAGTGCTCGATAGCGTCCTTTTGAGGGTAGGAGTTGAAACAATTTATGTCCAGGATGGGAGGGGTCTGTAAATATTTTCATGGCCCTCTTTTTGACTCGTGTAGTATACAGGTCCTCAATGGAAGGTAGGTTGGATATTGATTTGATACATTGGTAGTGTATTGACTACATTATTAATAAAATTTAAGAGATGAGCAGGCTGGGCTGGAAGGCAGTGTTAAACATGTCATTAGTTTGGAGTCATCACGCAGCCACAAGAGATCCAAGTCCAACCCTCCATGAATTCTGTAGATATTTATCTAGTACCAATTTAACTTTGTTAGTTGACCAGATTTGTGCTTTGAACTCAACAAATGCTCCTGTTTATTTATGCCTGACAATTTATAAGATCATCAAACCAGAAACTAAGGCAGTCTCAAGGAAATGTCCCTATGACTCTTTTTGTTGTTGTTGTTGCATGTATAAAAATAAATGTTTCCAATGTTTTTAGTTTGGCTATAAATACCAAGATGTTTCATCTTTTTTTCAAGGAGGGTAATGCTGGAGCTTTAACAGACGCCTTATTCAGGTGAGAGAAAAATCTTATCCATTTCATAATCCACCTTGTTTTTCTGCTTTTGGATTATACACTCTGTTCTGACCCAGCCTTAGCAGAATCAAGAAGCAGACTCCTTGTCACGAAAAACCCCTATTTACCTCTTGTGAATTAATGGCATTCACCCACTGAAAAGTCCAGGGAATACTTCTTCAAAGAGTTAACTGCAGTAA